CCAGACTACATTTACGGCTACAATTTCCAACTTATCCGGAGGTACCGCGCAGACTCTCCCAAAAAGTACTCCAAATCCTCACAAGTGCAGGCATGCAATTTAACCAAGTCCTATGCTGAGATGAGTGCACAAGCTAATCACTTCGTAACAAATCATCCTTTCTGATCGACGCATATGTAAATTATGCATACTTTCCTACCTTTGAACGGCTCCGAGACGGTGCTATCTTATACTAACCAGACAGCACACGAGAGTAACTAGCTTCAAGAACTTGTGAAGTCAACTTATTAGACATACTCTCTCAACGCTATGATGGTTAACGTTCAAGTTCATAGATTTACATTGTTATTGTAGTACTAGCTCACAGCTTTAGAGCTTCGCTAGCAGTTATGGCATCAGCAAATAGGAGGAGGGAAGATCGTGATGTATCCAAATGTAAATCACTACTATATCTTTTAATTGCTCACTGATTAAATATTGTTCAATCCAAACAAGTTCTAATCAGCTCAGTAACACTTTCAATCCAACGTATGGCCCCGTTAATAACATCAAGCTTAGGTCTGGTTTCCTGAACGTGGGATTGCCGGACCCATCCACATTTACTCGGTTGATGGTTATTTTATAATAGCAGAAGCCTACGTCAATTAGAATCATTGTATGCACGCTTGCTAGCAAATAGGATAGTCGCGCATGTTGACTAATCATTTGGCTTAACAACTACTGTAAAGAACGACGAACAAGCCAGGCGCCTAAGTGCCGTAAGGGATGCTCACAGCCATGTTCCTATCTGCAAAATCCAGCGTAACGTACCTAAACGGGGATCATTTGCACGTTAGATCTCTTCGTTCAAGCCGACGATCACTTTATCATGATACCGGTCCTTAAAGATCATTGATCCGATTTCTCACTTGCATAAACTTAATGTTTATGTGATGAAAAAAATGGCTAATTTCGTAACACCAAACATCCTGACACCATCGCGGTGTTGAGCATACCACCAGATATCTCAACGTATCTGTTATTTAAATATACCTTTGACTTTCTTTCTGGGGTATGTTTAGTAATATGTTATATCCTCCTTTTCGAATATTCTTAGGTATATAATTAATTCACTTATTCCTCCTTAAGATAAATATCTCATACGCACTTCTGCAATAACGCACAATAACTTTTTAAAATTCACCACTACACCCTTTACCTCTCCTTTGGAGTTGCTAAGATTCACCTCAATATGTTTCACATTTTCTGAAAAAAAAATCACATAAATTATATCATAAAATTATAAAATAAGAAGTAATATTTTAAAGTCATTGGTTACCCGGTAATTTACGAAAATATAGTGGGGTGGCTGTTTAATCTTAAAGCGCTGGGCTTAGTATTCGATTTCAACTATTCTTCCCGTAAGTCGCAACTTACCGCTAAAACGTGAAACATTTATCTGGGTTTACGCTGTAATTCTATGAATTCTTTTCAAATTCTATTCAACACTGCTCTCTCTAAACTCATCTTTAGGTTCTCACAAAACCTCCAATGCAACTTTAAACTTTTCGTTGTTGGACTCCTCACTTATCATTGTTCATGCCAAACATATATAATATGCTGTTCGAGAGAAACACCCCATCAATCTATTCAGATCATGTTTTCCATACACCTCGGCCACTTTCTTTATCTTATCCTCTTATCATCGGTCACTTTGCTTTCCTGTAATTAGATATAACAGCGGTAGAAGTCGGCGCCTCGCCGAAGAACCTAAAACCAACGTTTTTTTGTTTTCCTTCTCTCTTAATTTATTTTTACCTCTACTTCTATTATTAATCTTTTCTGCGCGGGGGAGGGTATGTCTAAGCGTTTCGTTCATTCTTGTACTTAATCACATAGTTTGATGGGTTATGTGCAATAATCCCGACAAAGTCCTACGGGAATTTCTTTGCGGACATCAACTCCAAATCATCTACCCACAGCATTCTCCCTAAATCTAAAGAACTGGATGCATCATTCTCTGAACGATCGCGAAGTGAAAATACTGATCTAACGCTCAGCTGAATTTTGAATACCATTCACTTCATTATCCACCAAAACCAGTTAAGACTGCTCCTCAGCTCATCAGTGCAGCCAGTAACTCAGCTCGAACATCAGCTGGTGCTAAAATCGTATCGCACTGTTATCCTGGAAAAAAAGTATCCATGCAACTGGACCGAAGCAATATGCGATTACCCTATTCAAATCCTCATAACTGAAGCGCCTATCACTCCAAATATTGACTAGGAACACTTATTTTGAGTGAATGTCTGACTCAATATTCGAAATGCTCTGAATGGCACTATTGGTCATACAACTCTTATATAATAACGTATTAACCTTACACATTACTGGATCTTGAGGTGAAATTTTCAATGAATCAAGATGCTCGTAATCTATATCTTTTAGAGTAAAGCGAACATACAACTAAAATCTCTTGATGCTATCTGCTGAACTATACTTTGTTCGTCATCATCGATCAGCTAGTTCTGTCTACACTGTCTATACTTTGTACTCACGGACCATGACTAAATATAATAAGCTATAAACCCCCTATCATCTAGTAACCTACAACCCACCTACTACTAGTATCACTGTTACTAATATAGTCACCCCTGTAAATCGCATCCACCTAATTCTTGAAATTAGTGAATATGAATTTTTTTTTACCGAGTTATATTTGTATTCTTATCCTGATTGATAAACGTATATGAAAATAATAAGTCTCACGTTGAGTTGCATCCGGACCCAATGCACCCTTAAATGCACGGATCTGCAGTAAAAGAAAATTTGACTATATGCGTATCAACATTTGATAATACACCAGATGCAGAAGTCTTTAATCCCATCCCCGTATATGATATTCTATAGAGGGATTATCCATAGTTCCTTTTTCCCTCAAGTGACAGGGATTGGCAAATGAATTAATTTCTTAAAGCCATACTCATTAACTGAGTCTATGGAGTGAGATGCAATTCTCACATGTGCCCTTTTATTTTAACTTGACCCGTCAACCTCTTGTCCGGAAAGCTTCAGCAAGCTGCAGGTTTAAAAAAAAAACATAGTGAACGCTAATGTTTATTAATTCTATTTGGCCTCAAGTACTCAAACTGTGCAATATATTTACACCTGAGGTGACCAGATCCCACACCCTTTCCCATTATTTTACACTTGATTATTTGAGGTGGGCTTCTCAACTAGCATGTTTTATATTACATCACAACTGTACAGAGTAGCGCATGCCTCTCACTCTCTCCCCCCCTTCTCACAAGAATCTTTCTTCTCCCATGGGCTCTGGAGAGAGAAACAAGAGAGAGAGAGAGAGAGAGAGAGAGAGAGGGGGTAGGAGAGAGTTGGAATGGGATCAGGTGGGTAGGATTCTTCTATCCTTGTGCCTTTATTTCCATCTCTCTTTTTCTTTTAATCTTCTCTCTCTGCAGTTGAAGGGGGCTATGTGGGTCCCATTAGAAGAGCTCTAAAAAGTCAAATCGTCACCAAACCAAACATGGCCATCTCTATTCTTATAGCTCCTCCCCTCAACACGAGTACTTAGTTGCGGCCATAAACATTTGGCTAAAACCCAAAAAAAAAAAAAAGATTATTATCCCTCACCCATTTGTTTATTTAATAACAAAAAGCACACAAAGCAGCAGCCCAAAGAGCGGATAAAAATATCACACATCCTATCAGATGGTATTAAAAAAAAGTATTAGTTAGTACACCATGAGGGCTAATTTTTTATTCTGATCAATTCCCTACTTTAAAAATTATCACACATTGGCCAATTTAGTAAAATGAGCTCTCGTATGATGTTCGTCTAGAACAACTGGCATTTTGGGGCTTATCAAGAACCAATATGTAATAAATCCCTGTAAATAATGGGAAAGGACAAGCTCAAATGACCCAAACCAGATAATTCATGGGCCCCACCCTCTCCCCCCCATCTTCATAACGTCAGCTCCAATAAATGTTTATTACCTCTTTGCCCCCCCCCCCCCTCTGCCCCCTCCCTCTCCCCCCCCCCCCCCCCCTCCCCCCTCTCTTAATGCTTGTTGTCGGGAAGCTTTCTTAGGAAACAGTAGTAGTCTCGGTTGGTAGGCAGAAAGAAAGGCAAAACGAAAGGAACAAGAATTACTGGGCATATTCATCCCCTTTTTTTTGCCCGATCTCTGTCAACTACACTCGCCGCTTAAAAATTTCTCTTCTCCTTCCTGCCACATGGAGGCCTCACACGGGAGATCAAGAAGAAGGGACTCCATAACAGCTTCAACGACAATCGAGGGCGACGACACGAGCAGTTCCGCGGTACAACCCCTCTGCCCATCGCCCGTCTTCCACCACAACAATTAACTGGGCCCGCCGCCACCCCGCCGCCGCGCCGCCGCCGCCGCGAGGTCCGTCTTCGCCCCGAATTCCTCTTCTCCGCGGCGGTCGAGAAGGACACATGTTCGACAAATGGTGAGAGCACGAAGCGACGTGGAAAGCTGAAACAGGCTCGTGATCCCCAAGCAGCACGCCGAGAGGTACTCCCCTTGGACACGCGACGAAACGAGAAGGGCCTGCTGCGTCCCTTTGAGGATCGCGCGGGAAACCTGAGGTTTCTCGGTACTCGTACTGAACAGCAGCCAGAGCTACGTGATGACCAAAGGGCTGAGGCCGCTTCGTCAAGGAGAAGCGCTCGATGCGGGCGACACGAGTGTCCTTCGGCCGAGCTTGAGGACAGGAGCGCTGTCATAGCCTGAAGCGCGGCCAGAGTGGTCCTCGACCATCCGCGCTGGCCGAGGATCCGATGCCGATGCGCACATGGTCATTCGCTCGATCCGGGGCCGCTGGGCCGGTCGATGTCGTGCCTCAGGCGCAGAATTATTGTACATGCAGGGGCTAAGTGGCAGTGAACGGCAGTACGTCGTGTTCAGATCCGGGTACACAGCTGCACGGCTGCTGACAGGTGTAATCGGCGGAGGAGTGGGGACCGGCTCCAATGGTGCCGACTCGGTCCACGTGGTTCCAGACCAGACTGCGGCTGCGGCCCAAAAGAGTTAGGCTTTTTGGGGTGAACTTAGATTTCCCTGATGCTACTGATGGAGATAGTAGCGTTCCATCCGCGGCGTTTTCGTCTTCAGCTTCGCCCTCGCCCAAGGGGAAGGAGAAGGAGGAGTTATCACTAGATCTTGGTATGTGAAGGAGATCAATGTTAGAATCAAGAAGAGATCAATTGAGGACGAAAGGTTTTCAGATATATTTTTTTTAATGCTATTTATTTTTGTTTCTTTAGACCATTAGGACTTGTTAAATTTTATTTTTTGTTTTTTTAAATCATTGGCTATGAGTTTGTTGATTGACCAGGGAAGTAAAGGATAGAAGAATGTAACAAGGTTATAAATATATCTCCTTTTGCTCCAATTGTAAATAAATATATAAATAGATCATTTAGACTTCCTCACATATGATGATAAGCTTCTGCTTACCTGTTTGATCTCTAGCAGTAAGTAAAAGAAACATTTTAAATTTGAGTTCATCTTGTTTAATTCATTCAATTATCTTGCATTTCTCTTCCAATTATCACAATTTTGCCAGGTTTCTCAACCTTGAACTTCATTTCATCAGAGTTGCAGAAACCACTGAACATGCGTAGAGTCACAAAGATCACTGAGGTCAGATTTCTCCATCTGAATTATCGTTTAATTATTTTATTTTCACATATTTTAACTTCAAGCTTGTAGGTGCAATTGTTTTCTGAAAGATTTATGTGCTAAAACTCTATTAAATTTTAAAGAAACAGATTCCTAACCCATTTTATTACTTGACCGGTCTGTCTGTGTTCTTATTATCACCACTTAAAGACAGGGAAACCCATTTTCCTGAATAAATTAGGACTGGAAATTCATACTATTGGTTCACTGACATAATTAACATTATTTTTTGGCATGTTGCAGGAAAAGCCATAAAAATTAAAGTTCTTTAAATGCCCTGCAGAGATTCGAGAGGGATAACACTATAATTAGAGGTATTCCCTAAATTAACTCTTCTGTGTAATTAGCTTCTTTCAGGCTATATGCTGTTAGGTGCAGTTGTACCAGAAACTGTATGAGTAATGCTACCAATAATAGGCTAATGAGGAGCTAGCTAGCTCTAGCGTTGAATTCTTATTGTAAGGGTCAAATAGCATGCATGTTTTCTTCACTGTTTTCCATTAAAAAAAAAGCATGAAAGGATTAATTGATTAAAGACAAAGTTGTAGACAAAAAAACTAGCAGGAAAAAACATCTTTCACATGGAAAAGAAAAAAGAGAGGCGAGATAGCAAAATAAAGAGAATTATAAGAGACATATTGTCTAAAATTTCGGAGAAAAAAAGAGAGAGCTGAGCCACTTTGCAGTTTGTTAACCATAAAGTGAATAATGTTTCATGGTACTAATTCTTTTTATCCCCTTTTTCTTTATCCTTTTTCTGGTTGATCTTATGGAGGATCCAAACCCATTAATCCTGGTCATAGTTTTATTAATAAAAAGATATTAAGTTATTAAATGACCATGAATACATGAGAACTATGTACTATATTTGATATAATCAAAGAAGTAACCAAAAAAGATTTTAAGTTTCTAGAAAGAGTGATAAATATTTTGTTAATTTATAATAATAAATGGTTAGTAAGTATGTAGAATACAAACAATAACAAGAAGGATTTAAAAAAAAACTTAATTTTATATGTATGACTTGATCTACATCTTGGGAGAACTTTACAGATCTTTCAAACTGATTTTCTTTCTCTTCTATTATTCATTTTCTAACCCTTTGTCTCTGGATCTATTATTAACCTCTTTACAGTGCTATATGGTTAATCTTCAACTACATATGTTCAGACTTTTGTCAGGTATTGCATGCAATTAATTAATCATTATATTGTAAGCAAATTCACTTAATCTTTAAGTACAATCCAGTTTAATTTAGTTTATGTATTCAATGAAGAGCACATTTGGATGGCATATATAACAAGCATGGTAGATATAACTGGAATTGATTTTCATTTAATTTTACTTTAAGGTCGACACATCTAGAAAGAAATTCAGTATGTTGTCTATGCAATAGTTGAAGAGGCTGTGAATACATTGTATGCTGAACAATGTTTTATAGGCACACGTCTGAGTTATGATATTTATGCTTTATATTATTAGTACAAAGGTTGATGAAGTTCAAAACTCTATTGTTAAATATAGAACCGGCCATTTCCTAAATATGAATTCTATATGACTACATAGGTTATAAATATGGTGATAATGTTGTAGACTCTATATGTAATTAGTACAGGTTTTAGATGCCATGCTAAGTTTGCTTGATATATACATTATTACATTGCAGAGCTTTTCAGCAAGTAGCTGTTTTAACTTGACACGTATTATGACTCAACCTCCATGGATCATTCTGAAATAGATATG